GAAAAACAGCAACCTGTGTTCTAGTTCTCCCCATTCCCACATCACAAGTACAACTACTGAATGGGGCCCCCCTGTTCATAACCACCTATGAGCTGGGGCACTAGAGAAAAGAACCAGCTCATTGTGAGTCCAATCCTGCCAGAAACCACTCTGCCAAGGCTCTATTCATGTAGACTTCCTTTCCAAGAAAAAAGTGGGAAACAACATATGTCTGTTATACAGCTCATGACTGCTAAGATGAAGGCATCCCCCCCCTACTTCCACCTCAAAGTAAAAAGGAAGTAGGTTTATTACCTAGCTGCCTCCTGTTAGCAGCCCTTGCCCACATGGAGACTAAAAACGTTTAGCTTTCTCATATTTGATACTGTGATGGCGTCTAGCAAGTACGTCACAACTCTGGTAGCTTCAGAGAGCACTTCCAAGCAGAGCGCTGGGCTTTACTGCTCTGTATCAGACTGCAGCAACCACTACCAGCAAGTGAGAAGTCACTCTCAAATCATCAGTAAATCATGAGTACTAACTGTAATCTTTTGTTTGCTGATTACTGCCCCATTTCTTCTCTCCCCAAAAGCACTGACTGACAGGGAAGAGCATGAGCTGTGTAACCACATGATCCAAAAAAGATCAAGGGAGATGCTCCCAGAATACCGTCACTGTGCAACAGGGCACTGACTGCTCAGATTACCATTCACCATGATGTATAACCCTGTTACTGATGCTAAACTGGCATAGATTCATATCAAACAGGAGGTCACATGGATACTCCTTGACACAGGTACATATGGATACAACTGGGGAATCCATTTCCAGTAAAAGAGTCAAGACAGCAATGCACCTAACTGTGTTTAAAACAACCAATGGAGGGAAGAAAAATGCATGTTCCTACCCAAGTAGAGAGGGCTTTCTCCTCACCTTGAGAACCTCCGAGCCTGTTTTGAACTGGTAGCTTACATCTCTGTTCATAAGCAGGTAAATGGCTTGGTTAACATGGTTTCTAGCATCCTGGATCTGCAAAGGTACAAATGCAGCCCTATTAAAGAAACACTCTCTATAACACACACTAGGAAGTGGAGGTTTCCCAATATCTCATTGGCCCTAAGAAAACAGTGACTTCTCAAATGTTAAGGCCATTTCTCTCCGAGTACCAGACACTCGCTAACACAAAGCTACCACTGCTGCCTAGATGCATTATCGCTTTCTTCACTCAAGGACTGGAGATGCAAAACAGTCTGACAGCTACAACCTGGATTTCAATCAAAATATTGCTGCAGCCCTGAAGGAACAGTGACATCAGAGGCACTCTCATCCTGGGAGGAGTCTGATCATGACTGTTCAGGCAGGAATTCTCACTGTTGCGGGTATACAGCAGTCAGGTCTAGCAACATGAATACTGATTTTTCCCTTAGGAACTATTAAAGCTAAAACCAATAACATAAATTACATCCATAGCAGCAACGAGCAGCAACAAGCAGCAAACACTGATTTCTAACATAGTGTCTCTGGCAGTACTCCAGAGTCTTTCTAACCTATAATTGTTGGGGTTGAGAGTTATGTCCAGCATCAAAAATCTGCCATCACGCCACTTGTGTGCAACCTGGCCAGACTTGGGACACAGGTAGCTCAAGTCCCTCTCAGGAAAGACCACTTGCAGCCAGGAGAAAATTATCAAAGCCAGACTGACAAGGTGTATTCCAGTGCTTTCACGAGAGCAAGGACAAACCAGAGGAAGAAGAAAATGGCCCCTGGAGAAACTGACTTGTGTTCAGTTACAAGCAGCAGCAGGAAACTTGAAAAAAAAGCAAAGGGGTAAATCAGAGGGTGCAATAAATGGAAAAGATAAGCAGGGAAGCCTGTACGAGCGGTGGCTGACGGGAGATGGAAACACAGCTTGGGCTATTTGTAGTTCTATATATCTACACTGATCCCCAGCAACCCCAAATCCCAGCTCAGCCTTGTAGAAGCCTCCCTGGCATAGATCTCGGCACTTCCTTCTCATCCAGAGCTCAGGGATCTCAGAATAGCCTTGCTCTTAGAAAGCACAAGGCACTGGAGGCTACAGAGAGAAGAGAGAGATGATACAGTCCACTGTCAGACTGCAGAGGGACTCTGCAGCTACTTGGGCTATGGCATCTCCAAACTTCACCACCTCCAGCCTTTACACCTCCCATATATATGGAAGAAGTTCTTCACCCTGAAGGTGGTGAGACAGTGGAACAGGTTGCCTAAGGAAGCTATGGATGCTCCATCCCTGGCAGTGTTCAAGACCAGGTTGGATGGAGCCTTGAGCAACCTCGTCTAGTGGGAGGTGTCCCTGCCCATGGCAGGGGGGTTAGAACTAGATGATCTTTGAGGCCACTTCCAACCCAAACCATCCTGTGATTCTATGATATGCTTTCAAGCAAGCCAAGTTACCCTGGCAGTGTTACCCAACCCAGCAATGTCAATCCTGCTATTATAAGGAACTTCATTCCTATTCCCCCTTGATTTTGCTCTGGTTTCTAAGAAAGTTCCTCAAAACTTGTGTGCCTGCACTTGTGTTCCTCAAAAATGTGCCTATACTACAATTTCTTACCGATAGCTTTACTTTGCACAGAGACACAAAACTCCAATTGGCACCACTTGCTAAGGGAAGAAACTCACAATACTTTGAGATGCTCGTTTTTAATTCAGACAGGACAAAGATCTCCACATAATCACTGTAAATGCTTCTGCAGAGTCCTGTAGGCACTCACATTCCACATCTGAACAACATTAGAACACAAAACTCTTGCAAGTAAATAAACGAAGGTGTTTTCCATAAAGGGTGGTAGAAGCCTATCAACCAGGCAGCAGTACAAAACAGCCACAAAATAGGATGCACTGCTGAGTGTTATCACAGAAACTTCCTTGCCTTGTCGCAAGGCATAAAAAAAAAAACCCTCAGTCGAGTTTGGCATTAACATCTCAAGTACACAATTTTCTAGATTTCTACAAAGTTACCAGGCAGAGCTTTCACTCCGCTGCCAAAGCAGCTGTTGGAAACGGCACTCAATACCAAATGCACTGATCACCTAGAAAAATCTGAGCCATGGTATAGTGAAGCACCTGGAATACATCTTTCTCCAACTTACTCAGCTATGACAAAATAACCGTCAGAAACTACGTCTTCAAGATCAGATACTGGATGAGGTCCTGAAATCAGGCATCTCCCAGCAAAATGATAGGAAAGAGATTCGATGTTCTGGATAGACACATCCCTTTAACTCCTTAACTGAGAGAACTCAGCTATGCTACAAGAGCACAATGCAGTGAGATTTTTTTCTCAGCATAAACAAATGCTTCCGTAAGAGAATGAAGCAAGCTACTCAAAGCCTCTGAAGTTGCTCTTTGCCCTGCTAGCCTGGGTTTTACAAGCAGACACAAGGCCAGTACTGCACAGGCACCCTAGACACCGCTTTTAAAGGATTATGACTGCCATGCAGACAACCCTCAGCTCGCTGGTGTTTCAGGAGCGAGCAGAACCCACCTCTCTCTCCTAGCACCAATAACTGAATTTAGTTGCATCTGTTTCCTCCCTTAGCTTTTACCACTGGAGCTAACGTGGGACGGACATAACCACCTCCCTCTGAAAGAGAGGGACTACAGCTACTGCTTGGAGGGCGCAGACGCTACAGAGGGGTAGGCATCTAAAGTTAACAGTACCTGCTGCAATTTCCACTGCTTGTCTTCCCGAAACGCAAAGTGCAGAAGCTGATTATTTCTGGGCATTTTCAGATTAACATCCTTGAAGAAAGAAACAAACATGTGAGAGCAAGCAATCCCCATATGCAGAACATGAAGACTGCCAGTTCCACTCCATTCTGTCTCCCAGACCATCTTGGCAAGCTGCTTCCAGCAGTCCTGGCGTGGCCAGAACCTCAGCTCTCCTTCAGGAAGATGCTTAACACAAAGGAGAAGTTGAAAGGCATTCAGTGAATCCAGATTCAGGCAGGACACATGACCTCATCTCAGAAGGCCCCCAAGGAAATTTGATATTACACAACAAAGGTGTTAAGGCAAGGATTCCTCATGAAAGTCAACTCCACCACGAACCACAGGGTGGAGTGAGGGGATATTATATGCTGGGTCTTGAAAAATTTCAACAGTTGCTGAAATGTTAAGGATTTAAGGCCTATTAGGGAAGACTGACAAAGAATACTTACCGATCACTGGTAAAGCGTAATAAGGATGACCTCTCCCTTGAGGTCATCAAAGTGTAATAAGGATGATCCCACCCCTTGACGGTAGTACAAAGCAAGAACCATGGCAAGTACTCACAGCTTGACACAGGGCGTCTCCCTGCAGCGTCAACACACCTTTCACCTGGTCTGTGCTGGAACAGAGAAGAAAGATCTGGGCAACATAACACAAGTCACAGGAGGCAAGAGACACCTACTGAAACTGCCAACCTGATGCCGCCCCTCCCTCTCCCATGTGGCTAGCCAAGTTCCCCTCCTTCCAGGGGTCAGCTGGGTGATGCAGGTGAACTCTACACACTTTCAAGTCCTCAGCTCTTGGCCTGCAGCCAGTTGCTGTCATATTCTTTATGAGCCACCTCACCCTAACTGCCCTCCCTAAAACACTATGTTCGTTTCTGACTCCGTGCTTACTTCATGTATTACCTATCAACAATTTGGTTGCAGTTACAAACAGCTCTAGCAGGCACAAACACATGAATTACTGACAAGAGTGCTACGTGGTTCACATGGGAGTTAAAAGCTACAAACCCCACCTGCCCTACCCTAACAAGAAAAAAAACAAAACAAAACAAAAAAAAAAGAAAAACCCCACACCCCAAGCCCCTTAAAAGGTCCTGCAAGATGCGTCACATCAACAGTTGGGGAAGACTGAAGCACCTGGGTCTTCAAGAACTCGGTTTAGCCAACCCTTATGATACACTAGAGAGAGACTCTTTAGATCAACGCTTTTTAAGATACATCTCACAACAACGAATGAAAACTAGAATCAACTTTAATAGTTTAAGATCTGAAGAGTGCAACCTTCAAATGCAATACCGAATCGTTGCACCATTCTATAAAATGCTCACCATGCTGTTTCCAAGGACTAAGATCTACCACCTTGCAACAAGCTTGTGACCTCTGCCAGAATGCAGCTATTCAGACCAAGGCCTATGCTGAAGATCAAAAAATGGACAGCTACTTCAGAAGAACTGTACTTCTATAGCACCTTCTGCACAGGTCTGTTTGCTCTGTGTGAAGTACGTTAATTATTACTTGTTTAGCACAAAGGTTAAGATTTGTCCATAGTCAGAGTCAGAAAGTAAGACAAGAGCAGAATTCAAGTCTTGTAACAGCGGCTCCCTGTGCCCAGAAGGAGAAAAATGCCCCTTGGCAAAACTGCTGACAGCAGCACACTGACGCCACACACCAGCGCGTGGTCGGGAATCAATGATACATTATAGGTGTCAGCAGGGAACAGCACCAGTCCGGCTAAGGGAGCCGCTGGAACACAGCTACAGATGTTAGGTTAACCTGCCATAAGAGTTTGTTCATTTGTTTTCCTTCAGGCGAAATCCCGTGCTGAAGAAAACCCCGTTACCCTGGGGGTGCCACAGGGACCTCTGCCGCAGCTGCCTGAGGAACAGCACCTCTGCTCCTGAGGGCAGCCCCGGGCCAGATACAGGCAGCGGGGCCGGCAGAGCAGTGGCGACCCACTGCCCACCGTGGCCACTTACCCCAACGTGCTCAGCACAAAGTTCTCCTGCTTGACAGCTCCTCCTGAGCCACTGGCGGGCAGGGCAAAGCGGTGAGAGGCCTCCTGCCCAAGAGAGGACATAATGAGTGCTGGAGTGTCCACCTGGGTCCAGTGCATCACAAGACAAGGTGAGAGCAGAAACGCAGATGCTGGCAAGTGGCTGAACACAGTGTGATCAACTTTGCAAGCCTCCCACAACCCACCTAGCAGAGCACATGGATTTTGTATCGTCCTCCTGCAGGACAGGCACAGCTCAAGAGAAGGCTCAGTCCATGCAGCTCATGGTGAAAGCCATCAGAAATCCCAGGCTCCAGCTCCACACCTGGGAGCCAGGCAAGGTGGCCAGTGCCCAGCAGGGTCACCAAGCTGTCCGCTGCAGAAGCGGCACTCTGCACAGTGCTCGAGCGCGCTGCCCCTTTCTCAGCCCACTCACTGCCCTGAGCTGCACAGCGCAAGTGCCGACAGTCCCTTACCCACATAAGAACTCCTGAGTGAAAACCAGCCCTCCTGACTGGTCATACTGGCTGGTGACTGTCCTTTAATCAAACTTTGCCCTTAAAACTACACAAATTCTTCAAAACAGATACTGCAGGTTATTGTCACCTGCTACTGAGTCACGTCCTGGGTCAGCACTACAGACTCCCACATCCTCCGGCACCTGCCCCTCACCTCCACATTTTTGCCCCTGCTCTTGCATCACCCACTAACCCCCAACAAAACCTCAGAGCATTAAGGGTTTGGGTCTGTTGAACACTAACCTAGCAGGAGAGCAGTGAACTCTCGTGCACACAATCTCCTTTGGGTAGTTCGCCACCTGGCTACCCAGAAAGAGCCAAACCTGGCAGCCCACCCTCAGGCTGGCGAAAGGTGCTGCAGATCTAGTTCAGCCAAACACCTCATGCCTCTGACAGGGGCAGGCACCAGCAGAGAACTGGGTGTATCAAGCGAAGGAAGGTTTTGAATGAGGAAATTGCATGCTAATTACTGCACAAGTAGTAGTTTGTCAGCTAAAGGCTATCATACTGGTTAACAGTAACAGTTACAGGCAGATCCAGATTTGTACAGTTAACAGTAACAGTTACAGGCAGATCCAGATTTGTACAGTTAACAGTTACAGTTACAGGCAGATCCAGATTCTCTCTTCCAGGAAATATTCACATCTAAGGCAAACGCTTGGCAGAGAGGTCTGGCTACCTCCGTGTGCCTTTTCAAAGTAGCTTTCAGCAGAGGGTCAAGAACAGAAAATCTAGGGGGAATCAGCTTTATTGCGAATCCTTGAGATGAAAGGGCAAGTAAACACTTGGAACAGCACTGGACATGCACAATGGATCTTTCTGTGCACCCTCTACCAAGGATTCTTTCCTCCAGGGGAAATCTACTACCATTCCTCACATGGGAGAGTAACAAAGCCACAACACAAAAAACAGATGAAGCAAATTAAGCTTACTTTCAAAATATCCTGCAGCTGTCTCAAAACAGCATGGACCTCTTCTTGTAAAAGCCATTTAAATTCTTCCTCCTACATTACAGAAAGATAGCAGTAGAATCACTAGAAGTCAAACACTGGAAATAAATCACTTAAGACACATATGAAAATTATTTAAGTTCTGAGTATACTGCTAGTCCATGCTGTTTAAATCACATGCTAGAAGGAGAAGAAAAAGATTTCTTTCCAATCTGTTAAAAGGCCTCACTCTTCACTTCTCTGCCCCAGCCAAATGAATTGTCCTCATTCTTATTTTGACTTTGTAAACAAAGCAGCATTCAGACAAATCACTTTACCAATAATTACAGAATTAGGAAAGAACAGGCAGCAAGGGATGCGAATTTCAGAACAAAGTACAAATCCTGCTGCTTCAAAATCTGGGGCATCTTTTTAAGGTGCTGGGTTGGGCTGACCTTGACTGGTCAGCCACCAGACACCCATCCAGCCTCTCCCACTCCCCCCCTCAACAGGCTAGGGGAGGAAATAAGATGAAAAGCACGCGAGTCAAGATAAAGACAGGGAGACCCCTTACCAGTCACCATCACAGTCAAAACAGGCTCGATTTGCAGACAAATTTGTTGCCAATTAGATGGTGAGAAACAAAGACAAAACCTAAAATGTTCCTTCCCCCCCCCACCACCATTTTACCAAGCAACAGCAACCTTGAAACAAAGCAAGCTAAACTGAAACGTTAGTGGAAGGAGAGAAAGGCTGAAGACTCCCAGTCATTTGGGCAAATTCAGAAACAAGTTCAGATCTGATGACGCACTGCCTCAGGCCTCAATCAGTTCTCTGCTACAGAGAAGCCTGTATAAAGCAGATCCTCAAACTCCAGCTAAGCGTTCCTGTTAAACCACAAGGCCCCGTGCAGAAGATCATCAGAGAAGTGGGGACAGAAGCAAGTAAGGGGCAAAGAAGAGATTGACACTTGCTACCTTGTAAGAAAGGAGAAATTTTCCAAATGGAAAGTACTGGAAAGGAATGAATTGAGCAGGTTGCCCAGAGAAAAATCGGAAAGGTGTGGTCAACTCAGAAATTTAAGCCTCCGGTTTCTCCTCTAGATGGCTCCTGTTCACCATGAGAAACACAAAATAACTCCTCACTGCTGTGTCATCACCTTATGCAAGAGTTATCTGAACAAAGCATAGGACAAGGACAGTTTTGTTTCAACACTCACCCAAAGCAGGTACACGCAACAAACCGAGGTAGGATTCTCCGTCATCCTTCAACCTAGTGTGGGTGCAGCACCACTGACTTTTGCCATTTAATCCTGTTTTGTGTTTCTGGGCATCATATCGACATACTGGATCCCTTGCTCCTCCATTCTCTGTAACACTCTCCTCCAGGTTCCCAAAGGAACAGAAGTCACACAGGTAAAGAAGACACCTGTAGTGCCTCCACCACCCCATTGTCGCTAGGCAGAGGATTCTACTTGAAATTGTCATTGGTGTCTTTCATTCCCTTAGTGACAGCAAAAGATCTTCCTCCCCCAGTATTAATTTCAGACTAAATCAAGTCCATTCACCAATGTCTGTGAATTATACGTCTGTATTTTTTAAGAATGCTAGTCATGTCATTCCAAACTACATTAACTTTAGAAAAATCTGGTTTTCACATGTGGCTTTCTGCCTAGCCTGGATGCATCTTTAAAACTCCCTTTTCACTACTTTTTGCAGCTCGCGTCCTCGGAGGTGTCTGCGACAGCAGCTGGTCTATGTCCTTCCTACCTTTATCAAGTCAACACGGCCGCTGTGACATGCCTGCCTGCCATGTGCTAGGTCTGCTCTTCCGTCAGGCAGCGTGTTGGGCTGACTATGAAAAAAATCAAGGTCACGTAACATATTTCATTTTTCATCGGGAGCAGGACAGCCTCCACACTCACCGGGCCTTGCACTCACCCGCGGCCAACGAACGGAGCAGCACTGCCCGAACCCGCCCTCGTACTGCTCAGGGGGAGACCACCGAAGCGCAGACCCTTAGCGCCGCTAAAGGGGGGCTGGAGGAGCCCAGAGCCT